TTAGCTGTCTGGAGACAGTTCTTAAATCTTTGCTTTTTCCCTTTTAAAAACAATTCAGCGAGACATAAAAAAAATAGACTGTTGTCAAGCATAGTTCTTATTTGTAAGGGCGCATAATACTCTTCAAAAAGCAATGAACACATTTCATCCCAAAGCCTCAACGTCTTCCTTGATCAGTTGGTAACTTGCAACTGAGAGCCAGTTCTTTCATCCGCCCGTCCGTCCATCCATCCATTCATCCACCCACATCCATCCATACTGTATTCTGTCCATCACATATTGTTCATGGTATCATTAGAAGGCAGGACAAGATACACCAGACCAACATCCATCTAGATCCCATTTGCTGATGGAAGCATTTTTTTCCTTCTTTTAACAACCTTGTAATCCCTTGCATTGGAGTGGAGTCAGGGCAACTGTATGGAGCTGAGTGCTTGCTGGCTGGATGCCCTTCCTCACACCTATGCGGAGTTCAGAGCAATATTTTCACTTCGTGCTCAGAGAGAGAAATATCTGCTGCTACCTGGAATTGAACTCACAGCCTCCTTATTGTGAGGCAAGAGCTCCACCTCTAGGCCACCCCCCCCCGCTCCAGCTGATGGAAACAAGGACCAAGGTCAAAGAGATCCAGGTTTGTGATATGATGTTCACCTGGAGGTGTACCTCTCCTATCAGAGGTTGCTACCCTTCAGCTTTAGCCTCCCCCTGCAGCACCCAATTAAAATTGATACGCCAGGATAGAGATGGTAATGAACTACACTTGTGTGTGCTTTTTCCCTTAGGTGTGTGTACCAATCTGACTTCAAACTTCTAGTGCAGTGATGGCGAACCTTTTAGAGACCGAGTGCCCAAAGTGCAACCCAAAACCCACTTATGTATCATCGGGTGCTGGGTGGACATGGCCCATTGGGTGGGCGTGGCTAGGATGGTAACGGCAGACGGTGGGACTAAAAAGTTCAATCAATCAATTCCAACTTTGCGAGATCTTTTTTTCCCCCGCGAGAAGTTGAAATTGATTGATTGAACCTTTTTTTTTCTTTGCACATGGTGGCGGAGGCCTAAAGCAAAAAGGTTTTATAAAACCCAGCTGAAGGCCTGGGACTGGGGCACCGGCGCGTGTGCCCACAGAGAGGGCTTTGCGTGCCACAGGTTTGCCATCACGGTCCTAGTGAGTCCTAATTCTCACTCCATAAGGATTGGGAATAAATACTTGATCATTCTTAACTACTGTCCAGGAGCTTGTGCTAAACACAAGGAGAAGAACGTAACCACAAGAGAGTCCTTATCTTACAATCACTCACTTACTGGCCATTTGACGTGACAACAGCACTGGGAAAAGTGGCTTATGGACCGGTCCTCACACATAACAACTGTCGCAGCCTGCCCAAAGTCATATGATCAAAAATCAGGTGTTTGGCAACTGGCATGTATTTAAACAGTTGCAATTCCTGGGCTCATGTGATCGCCACTCACGACTTTCCCAGCCAGCTTCTGACAAGCAAAGTCAAGGGGAGGGGGGGGGAGAGGGGAACTGGATTCACTTAACAACTGTAGTGACTTGGTTAACAACTGTGGCAAAAAAAGTCATAAAATCAGTCATTGACTCGCTTAACCGCCTTGCTTAGCAACCAAAATTCTGTTTGTGGTCGTACGTTGAGGATTTAACCGTACTAGGTAGCTGCAGGAATAACTAAACTTCACCCACGTTGCATCCAAAGTAACCCTGCAGCTGTAACCCACATGCAGGGGATCTCACTACCACCATCAGCACAAATGTTGTCCAGAAGAACTTTATATATATATTTATGTAAAACATTCTCCGCAAAGTTTTATGCAATACATTAGTACAAACTGATCAAGTATTTACAATGCGTTTTGTGGAGACCTGTTTGTTGAAAGAGATTCCAATGGTGCCTTTTTGAGACCCAAAAGACTGTAACTCTTTGGAAAGAGTTTCTAACTAGCATAAGACGACTGCTTTTGAAGAAGTCACTTGGAAGCATTTGTGCCCGTTACAAATTTAACCAGGATTAATTGACCTGACTTCAGTGGAAGAAATTTTAATTGACTCATCCCATGCCACTAATAGTCCTTTCTAGGATCTGGATCACCCCGTTCCTTAAAGTAAGAAATATGTTAATGAACCATGCCAATCTGGCACAGATCGAGGGTTTGAATGACAGATTATACTACCTTAAATCACCAACCTGTTTAAGTTACTACGGAAAAATCTCTGCAGGTAACGAACTGGTATTTCAAACCCTGAGGAATCTTCCCCATAGTTGATAAATGATTATAGGCTGAGCAGTCCCCATCCACTTCATTCCCAACAAAGTTGTGTGACAACTCCCAGCCTAACTCACCTCTGACCTTCTAGGATCTTAGGTTCTTCAGGAATAGATAACTCTTCTAACATATTCCGCCGCTCTTATCATACTCAGCATTGGGTAGAACTGAAGACTGGAGAGTCGAACAGCAAAATGGGAAGATCATGCTGCAGCTCAAGTTGAGTTGACCTTCTCAACATCAGTCTGGCCCCAAAAACCATGCCTAGAGGCCCTAATCCTGCTGTCAACTGAACTTTGTACCTGCCAAAGCCTATCGAGAAAATTCCTTGAACCTGCTCTAGCATGCAAAACTTAGTTTTGCAAAGAGGATGGTCCAACTATTAGATTCAGTCTCCTTTGATTTCTAACCTGTCCTTGGTGGTCAACCCTACCTATTAATCCAGGTTACGAATGTAACAATGTAGACCAGGGTGTCCAACCTTGGTGACTTGAAGAACTTGTGGACTTCAAGTCCTAGAATTCCCCAGCCATTCCCCATGCTGGCTGGGGAATTCTGGGAGTTGAAGTCCACGAGCCTTAAAATGGCCAAGGCTGGACACCTCTGGTGTAGATATATCCCAAAGGCAAGCAGTATCGATTTTTCGTTCTCCACTAAATATTCAAGGATTTTCCTGCTTTTGGGTGTCAGATAGGCAGCCTTGGAAAAGGGTTAGTGAACATACTAAGGCAGAAGGAAAAGCCATTTTGATCCAGAAGGCAACCTCATTCGATCATAAATAAAATTGACAGAGAAAAAGAAAAAAGAATTGGCAGTGGATAAACACCTTGCTTTGGTCAAATGCCGAGGTAGCCACGGTTAAAATCAAACCAAGTTGGCTGGATTGGGGCACATTGTAACATTGGGGCACACTGTGACATCCCCTCCCCTGCCTTAAATTTAGTGCCACTTTACCCTTGGAATTTAAAACTGTTGGATAGAAATGAAATGCACCACGGTCTTCTCAACTTCCTTAAAAAAAGAGAAAGCAAACCGATCCAGTGTGATGGCTATTCTAAGGCAGGTTAATACAGAAGATCAACAAACCCAGTCCTATATCTTCGTAGGTAATAAAAAAAAATACTGTCTCCGTTCAGAATTAAGACTATGAACTTGGAGGCTGAAAAGGACGTCCTTAAAAAATACTGTGTTTTGGGGAGAAAAAGACACTTTTTCCAACACAGCAAATCGTTAAGATCCTTGCTGTAAAACAAGGGTATCCAACCTTGGCCATTTTAAGACCTGTGGACTTCAACTCCCAGAATTCCCCAGCCAGCCAGGCATGACTGGCTAGGGAATTCTGGGAAGTCCACAAATCTTAAAGTTCCCAAGCTTTGATACTTCTGCTATAGATCAGAGAAGACCACGGCTGCTGCTGTGGGAATTGCTAGAAGTTGCTTGCTTATAGGCCAGACAGGTTGGCAGCTCCCACGCTTATCTGAACAGAAAAATTAGAGAGGGAATTGCAGATTTAACTACACTCCATCCTCTCTTTCCTCTTTTTCTTCAACGGACAAGGTAAGGGTTTTCCCAAGTGGAACTGTCAAAAAGGGAGATGATGCATAAAATCAGAGTTCCCTCCATTTTTGGCTGGCTAAATCACGGAGTTTCATTTGACAACCGCTGTATGGTTTTAGCCTTCCCAGGAAATTTAGCCCATCCAAAATTTAGAACTCAGTAACTTTTGAGCACCCCTCAAATGAATTTGGGAGCGTCTGTTTTGGGCATCTTGTCGTATCATAAGATGCCTACCACTAACAAAATAATTCAATACACCTTTAAGGCCTTCTCTTTATGTTCTTGCTACCAGTTGGACAAGTCTTTTGATCGTGCCCCTATTTTTCTGCAGGGGGAAGATAAATGTCCTACCCCATGAAAGGAATAAAGTGTTTTGCCCCACGGCATATTCTGCACTTTCGGTTAATACTGATATGGCTGGAATCAGTACTGGACAGCATGAACCGGAAACCCTGCAAAAGTTCACTACATTATTACAATTAACACCGTTTGGCCTACCAACCTATTTACATTTTAAATAAAAAAAACCAAAAAGGACTTTTTTTTAAAAAAAAAAGTAATCAAAATACATCTTTGCCAAAAACAAACAAAAATCCCACCCCAAAAAAGAGAGAGAAAAATAATTAGACTGCAGAATTCTACAAACGCAAGAAGAGGAACAGGAGAAAAATTCGGTCTTCGGTCCTGGGTACCAAGAGTTCAAAAAGTCAGAAGGCTTGGCTTTTCGTTGTGGTGTTGTTGTTATTGTTGTTGTATGTTGTTGCTTAGCAACCCAAAGAGATGCTTGGAATGCAGAGCCTGGCCTGGGAAAGGGCATCGAAGTCTGCCTAAAGCAGAGGAGAGCGACTAGACTGGAGCAGAAGTTTGTTTTCGATGCTACCTTGGCGTAGTAGATCCCCAGAGATTTTCACAGAAGCAGTTTTTCTCCTGCCAAAGGTTGAAGTCTCTCCACCGGGGAGAGACTTCTGGTGTTGGCGACGGTCACTTCTGGAGTGGAAGATGGCAGTTTGGCAGTTAAAAAACCAGGGTTTGACTTTGGCAACAACAAAAGTTTTTTTTTTTTTAAAAAAAATAAAAAATAAAACCAGCCACGGGCCATTGCACCCGGGTGCCTGTAAATGTTTTAGAAAGGAGTAAAAAAGGGTCACGTTCACACACACACACATCAGCGGTCGCCCCTTGCGCAAGGAGGAGTCGGAGAGGAAGGTTTTCTGCACTCTGCTCTCGCCGCCGGGCCAAATCCAAGTGTCTCTGCCGTTTCATATCACAAAGGAGGACTTGTGTCTAAAGTCACCCTGCAGCAAAGACACAGCACAGCTTGTTAAAGGTGGGGGGGGTGCGCTTGTGCGTACCTTTCTCCTCTACTTTGGCCCAAATTAAACCAAACCCTTCTGGAATGAAAAGGAGTTCAAGAGCTGTCGCCGGACAACTGTCGGCAGACGCAACTTGCTTGGTCAATGGCCAAGGAGGCTGAGGGTTCAATTTTTCCAGCGTCTCTGGAGGGAATCACAAATACTTTTTGTAAATTCTGCTTGGGTTGACCTATTGCATCCAACCCTTCTGAAGCAGATTTGGTTTTGGCTTAGCGTACTGCGTAAAACCCAAATATCCCATTTTGTAAATTGTAAGAATTCAATATACCCTCTTCTTGTGGGGCTCGTTGTTACTCTCTGAGCTTGGTGGTTTCCTTGCAGATGTTTCATTACCCAACTAGATAACATTATTTGTATCACAAGGGAGTTGGGTTTGTGGAGTGCAAGAGAAAGAAAAAGGGAGGAAGATTAGGAGGAATAGAATAGAGCTGCAAGGGACCTTGGAGATCTTCCAGTCCAGCCCCCTGCTCAAGCAGGAGAATCTATACCATCTCAGGCAAATGACTGTCCAGTCTCTTCTTAGGGCTGCAACTGTGGAGTCTTTGGGTTCTCTTTTGTTTTCCTGCAGATGTTTCATGACCCAGCTAGATAACATCATCAGTGCTAGAAAGAACTTGTATATAAAGAGAAAGCAATTCCTCCCCCCTTCTAACACTGATGATGTTAGCTAGTTGGGTCATGAAACGTCTGCAAGGAAACAACCAAGCTCAGAGAGCATCAGGGACCCCAGAGATCAACCCTGAGCTACAAATATTATCTTCCATCAATAGCCTCTTCTTTGTTTGGGTATCTACAGTTAAGCAAACCAAGCCATAGACCAATGTTTCCTTCCTTGGGCACTCCTGGATTCTTCTTCTTTTGGACTCAGAACAGAGGTGGGGTTAATTAGCAATCTTGGATAGGAATAGTGGGTCCTTCACGAATCTTCCCAGGAAAGCTGCGTCCTTAAGCTGAGCAATGCTTTGGATCTGACTCCCAAAAGGTATTTTGGGGGAGGGGAATGCAGCAATTGTCTGCCACTTGTTAAAGCAGCTGCATCTCCTGCCTATTCTTTGTGAGAATTACAGAGAGTTCCTTCAGCAGAAATGAACACACGAGTGCAACATGCCCCAAAATCTTACCCAACATTTATCCCCAAAGAAATGGAAGTTGTAACCATCTGCTAATATTGGGCTCTGGCATAGGTCTTTATTTTCTTGCGATGGGGAGGAAAAGATAGTCATTCTTGTGAATGCCTTCACTGTCCTTTGGTCTAAGAAGACGCGCTTACCTCCTCATCTGTGTGAATATAATTCACGCCATCTGGCTTCGCTGGAGTCTTGTAGCTGGGAAGGAAAGGCAATGTTTAGTTGGACCACATCAGTTAAATACAACACGTGTATCTCTTCCTTTGTAGGAGAAGGACAGGCAGAGCCTGAAGGTGGAGTCAAGAGAGGAATCAGCCTAAAGTCCTTACGTTCCCACAAATGGTCTAAATCCAAACCCTTTTGAATTCTGTTAACTCGTGTCTAGCGCCAATGTCATGCTGGCCATTAGTTGATAGATTCTTGTGGATAGGCATGAGCCATTTGCAGATCTGTACCTACAACAGCTTTATCATTTGGTAAAAAGTAACTCTTTGCAGTTTAATAAGGCATGGTTTCCCCTCTTCCAATAAGGATCAGTTGAATTCCATGATATAAACCAGAGGTATCCTTGGCAACTTTTAAGACCTGTGGACTTCCACTCCCCAAATTCCCCAGCCAGCTAATTCTGGGAGTTGAAGTCCACATGTCTTAAAGTTGCCAAGGTTGGACATCCCTAAACAGTTCCTTTCTACTTTGGTTCTATTGTGTTAAAATTAATTTAAAAACTCCTTTTGTTTAATGGACTAAGGGAGAAAAGGGGTCAGTGGAAGCCAAACATGAGTCTACATCTGCATAAAATATGTGTAATCAAGGCAAAAACCCTATCAAAGATGTACATCAAATATGTAAAAATGTGCATGATATACATAAAATATGCAAAGGGCATCCAGACGAATTTGCTGAGAGCCACTGAATTAACATTAAAATCAAGGCTTCCTGCATGTGATTTGGGAGTCTCTTGTGTGCTAAAGTTACAGAGGAAGACAATCCAAAAGGGAAATCCTTGCAATTTCAGTTTTTCTGAGAGAAGATGGAAGATCTCAGAGAACCACCAGCTTCAAAGCCTGAGTCAGCTGAGTAACTTAAAAAAAAAGAAAAAAAGAAGAGTTATCTCTCCTTGCTGGTGTTGGCATGCTTTTCCTCTTCCTGGTGTGTTATTTCCTGTTAGGGCTAATTCTGAAGCCATCTGTTACATTGGATTTGTTACTTAAGGCTGCTGGTGTAACGGACAAGTCTCATTTCCTTTCATCCAGCAAAGAGATACAAGGAAAGAAATTTGGGGATCCAGGTTGCTTGGCCAATGCCAGTAAACTCAGCCATATGACATTATCTATCTATCTATCTATCTATCTATCTATCTATCTATCTATCTATCTATCTATCTATCTATCTATCATCTATCTATCCATCCATCCATCCATCCATCCATCCATCCATCCATCCATCCATCTATCTATCTATCTATCTATCTATCTATCTATTTTTTTGTTTGTTTATTCATTCATTCATTCATTCAGTATTGTAGGCTAATTCTGCCCACTGCCTGGAGTTCGATCCTGACCGACTCAAGGTTGACTCAGCCTTCTATCCTTCCGAGGTCGATAAAATGAGGACCCAGATTGTTGGGGGCAATTTATTCTGACTCTGTAAACCACTTAGAGAGGGCTGTAAAGCACTGTGAAATGGTATATAATACTAAGTGCTTCTTCTTCTTGTTGTGCCATATCCGTTATCGGACGTTGGCGATCATGTTGGCGATCCTATTTTTATCAGCAGCCGCACGAAAAAGTGCTGCTGAGTTTTGTCCAAACTAGTCCCTTAGATTTTGAAGCCATGATGTTCTTCTTCTGCCTGGACCTCGTTTGCCTTCAATCTTTCCCTGGAGGATTAAGTGCTATTGCCCTAATTTATTTTGCAAGGGCCAACATTTAAACCTGGCCCAGCGCTGCTAAAGTGACATAAATATTCTGGTCAAAAATTTTCCTCGGCTTTCTATCATCCTCCCTAAATTGTCTACAAAAATGCAACATTAATGACATCCAGTCCTGCCTCTTTTGAAAACCCTTCCAGCTAGACTGAATTTCTAGCCGCTTCTGAATTGCCTCCAGTGCTTTTCTACCAAAGAAGGATGGGGGGGGGGCAGGGGAAGGGGGGGGGAAACCCTTGCTCAGGAAAAGAAGATTTCTGAGCAACATAGTCAACATTTTTGGAGTGATTCTGTTTATAACATGATTTGCCACTGGCCATGTTTCTTCTCTTTTTTGTCCTTTTTTCCTTATTATGAGTAGCACAAAAGAAATATTATATCCTGCTATGTGCGCAAGTATTTCCTTTTTGTTCATAAGCCCAGCGCTCGACAATTAAGTTGTTACCTGTTTCCATTTTGTTTGTTATGAACAAAGAAACCGTTCCTGTAGGCACAGCAGATCCCCACTGTAGTCAGGGACAGAACAACCAGCACCACCAATACGCCGATCACGATCCCAACAACATTAAGGTCATCTGCAGAAAGAAAAGGGGGCTCAGCTGACATATCCCCATTCCTGTGTGCCCTCAACTAGAGTATCCTGACTTTATGGTCCTGACTACCACCCAAAGCATCTATCTCCAGAAGAAAGTCTTAGACACCCAGAGTCATTGGATACAAGATGAATGGGAAAGAAAAAGAAAGAAAGAAAGAAAGAAAGAAAGAAAGAAAGAAAGAAAGAAAGAAAGAAAGAAAGAAAGAAAGAAAGAAAGAAAGAAAGAAAGAAAGAGAGGGAGGGAGGGAGGGAGGGAGGGAGGGAAAAAGGAAGGAAGGAAGCAAGGAACAATGAAGGAAAGAAAAAGAAAGAAAGAAAGAAAGCAAAGGAGGGAGGAAGGAAGGAAAAAAGGAAGGAAAGAAAAAAAGAAGGGAAAAAAGGAAGGAAGGAGGCCAGGAAAAATGAAAGAAAGAAAAAGAATGGAAGGAAAGAAAGAAAGGAAGGAAAGAAGGAAGGAAAAATGAAGGAAAGAAAAAGGAAGGCAAGAAGGAAAGAAAAAGAAAGAAGAAAGAAAGAAAGGGAGAAAAAAGGAAGGAAGGAGGCAAGGAAACATGAAAGAAAGAAAAAGAATGGAAGGAAAGAAAGAAAGGAAGGAAAGAAGGAAGGAAGGAAAAAGAAAGAAGAAAGAAAAAAGGGAGAAAAAAGGAAAAAAGGAAGGAGGGAAGCAAGGAAAAANAAGAAAGAAAGAAAGAAAGAAAGAAAGAAAGAAAGAAAGAAAGAAAGAAAGAAAGAAAAAAAAGGGAGGGAGGAAAAAAGGAAGGAAGGAAAGAAGAGAGAAAGAAAGAAAGAAAGAGGGAGGGAAGGAAGGAAGGAGGCAAGGAAAAAGGAAGGAAAGAAAAAGGAAGGAAAGAAGGAAAGAGAAAGAAAAAGAAAGAAAAAGAAAGAAAGAAAAAGAAAGACTGTGAGCTGAACAGAACCCTGCCCTTCATCCCACCCTCTGGTGCCAGACCATCGCCCTGCTACTCACAAACTTCCATTTCTATCCCTTCGCACCAGGCTTCGCCCACGACGTTCTTGGCTCTGCAGCTGTAGCGACCGGAGTCTCCTTTCTGGACTTCGGCAAAGGCCTGTGCGCAAAGGAGAATCGCGGTGAGTTTTGCCCCCCTGCGCTTGGAGAGTTTCAGTTCCCAACCCAAGGCCCCCACCTGCAGGAAACCGTGCCATCCTGGAGCATGGCTTGGGAAGGAAGTGTGTGTGCTGCAGGTTTGCAAGCTTCCTGTCATTATATATAAAAAAAAAAAGAAGGAAGGAAGGAAGGATGGGAACGAAACCAGCTCTGCTTGTAGAAAAAGGAACAAAGGAAAGAACAGTTGAAATCTAGATATTTTTTTATTTTAATTTTTTTTTGCTTTATTGCCATGCTAGGTTTCCATATGTTTCCTCCCAAGGCAGCCATCTCTTCTTCCTTGCCCGGCCTTTTCTGATTCCCTGCTGTATGGAATTGAAAGCTCATAAATGGTAGGCTTTGGATTCATTGGTCAGGATCATAGATATACTGTAAACCAGTCCTGGCCATAATATTCTTCCCCATCTGAATTGCAAAGTTGTTGTTGTTTGAATCGCAGAGGTTCCTGCTTCCTCCTCTCCCCATTCTGCACCGTTGGTTAGTTAGAAACTTAAATCAAAAGCTTCAACCAAATATAACTGTTTTATCGTCAGAGGAGAATATTGGTAACTCAGGGTTGAAAGGAGGGGTCCTTAGCGCTCTCTGGGCTTGGCTGTTTTCTTGCAGACGTTTCATTATCTGACTAAGTCACATCATCAGTGCTAGAAGGGACTGTGGGTATGGAGTGGAGGAGGAGGAGGAGGAGGAGGAGGAGGAGGACGACGACAACAACAACAACAACAACAACAACAACAATGACTGGGATCCTTGGTGCTCCCTTGTTTTCTTGCAGACATTTCATGACCCAACTAGGTAACTTCATCAGTGCTAGGAGGAGATGGGTTTGCTGTCTTTTTATATACTAGTGGTTTGCCCTGTCAGTGTTGGTGGGGGTGTTCTTGGTGGTTCCTTGATTGGACAGGGCAAGCCACTTGTATATGAACAGAGAGCAAGCTCCACTCCCTTCTAGCATGGATGATGCTACCTAGTTGGATAGTGAAACTTTGCAAGAAAACAACTAAACTCAGAGAACACCAAGGACCCCACAGTCATTGTCCTCCTCTTCCTCTTCCTCCTCTTCTCCACACACCCCACTCCTTTCTAGTATTGATGACGCTACCTAGTCGGGCAATGAAACATCTGCAAGAAAACAACCAAGCTCAGAGAGCACCAAGGACCCTCACAGTCCTCCTCCTCCTCCTCCTCCTCTTCTCCACACATCCCACTCCTTTCTAGCACTGATGACGCTACCTAATCGTGCAATGAAATATCTGCAACCAAGTTCAGAGAGCACCAAGGACCCCACAGTGCTCCTCCTCCTCTTCTCCACACACCCCACTCCTCTCTAGTGCTGATGATGCTACCTAGTCAGGCAATGAAACGTCTGCAAGAAAACAACCAAGCTCAGAGAGCACCAAGGACCCCACACTAACAACAACTAATAGAGAAAAAAAAACACCAAATAGGGGAACGCCCAGCTGAATTAAAGTAATCTCTTCCAAATCCTTCTCCAAGTTAGGACATCCACCCTGCTTCTCCTTGTTCTCCCCCCAGACTTACCAACATGCCAGTTTTGGGGTTCAGCGTAAAGGAAGAATTCTGGAACTTAGTGCTGGCCTTGGAATCCAGTGGCAACGTTTCATCATTACGGTACCAGCTGTAGTTTGGCTCTGGGAATCCTTCCTTTTCTTGGCAATAGAGGATGGCAGGTTTTCCCACGGGGACCGAGGGGGGCACCCGACACTTGGGGGCCACTGGTTTGACTGCAGGGAAAATGGCAGGAGAGGATGTGCATCAGACCGGAGGATAATTTCCAGCATCACCCACTCTCAGTTTTAGCGTTCTTTGGTGTGGAACAGAGAGGACTACGGTTAGTCCTCGCTTAACATCCAGCCACTTAGTAACCGTTCCAAGTTACGACCGAGCCAAAATTGACTCTTGCAGGAAAGGTCGTAAAAACGGGTCCAGTCGCGTGGATGCTTCGACTTACGAATGTCACGACTTAACGACAAGAAATTTTGGCCTCCGTTACAGTCATAAGTCAAGGACTACAGTACTTCTGAGCCAGCTTTGGAAAAGGGCATTTGGGAAAGTCAGAAATTCAACAGTATCATACATGCTATAGAATATGTACTGCTGTACTTGAAGCAGATTTTTGCCTTTCATTTCTAGGGAACGCAATCAAAGCTGCGTGTCACACACTGAGCAATGAACAGTCCTAGGGATCATGTCAAGATGGCCCTCAAAGCACGTGATCTGTTAGATTCGTCAACTGTGAGGAGCGAGTGTTGGCACATAGGTTGCTAAGAAGCATGCTCTTGCCACATTCAGCCTGCCAGACTTATCCGCACATCCCGTGAAACCATGGTTTAATGCAAGAGATACAAGCAGCAAGAAATGGGTGCTCAGCCTTGAATTTAACATGCTGCATTCTCCTATCTCAGTGGTGGCGAACCTATGGCACGGGTGCCAGAGGCGGCACGCAGAGCCCTCTTTGTGGGCACGCGCGCTATCGCCCCAGTCCTAGGCCTTCAGCTGGGTTTTATAAAACCTTTTCGCTTTAGGCCTCCGCCGCTGTGTGCAAAAAAAAAAAATAAATCAGTCAATTTCAACTTCTCGTGGGAAAAAAAAGATCTTGCAAAGTTGGAATTGATTGATTGAACTTTTTAGTCCCACCCAGTCTGCCATTACCACTGCAGCCACGCCCACCCAATGGGCCACGCCCACCCAATGGGCCACGCCCACCCGGCACCCGACGATGCATAAGTGGGTTTTGGGTTGCAGTTTGGGCACTCGGTCTCTAAAAGGTTCGCCATCACTGTCCTATCTCCTCTATACAGCCAGGATCATTGAATCCCACTGTCTCCAAGTCTCGCCTTTGGACAGATCCCGAGACTGTGGTTTGTAGCAAACTCTGGCAGGCTGCAAAACCGGCCATTGTCAAACTGCAGCTTTATTCTCAAGCTGGTGAAAACAGAGTTCATCATAAACCCACAATCGTTGCTCCAGATGCCATGAAGGAGAAACAGTCAGTGAAAGCAGAGTCACACCCTGCCAAAATCTTTCAGGCATATAGGATGGTATCTGGGTTGAAGGTTCTTGGCAGCTTCTCTCTGTTCATGCAGATCAACCCAACCATGATTTACTGGGTACAGAACCACACTCATACCTTCATGAAAATTTCCTATTCAACAGTCTGCAATCTCAGGAAAGAAAAACCAGAAGGTAAAATCACTCTCAGCCCAGGAAAATTAGAATCCTCTTCATACTAGGAGCAGAGTATTCATTATCACTCCTCATTCATAGTCTGGACGTTAAGACATCCAGCTGGACGGATAAAGGATTTGCAGGACAAGCCTGACTATAGTATATTAATCTCACGAGGCACCAGTTGGTCAAGTTATTAGTCTGCTTCAGTAGGAAAAGCTACACAGCACAAAGGACATACACACAAAGCTTTGGAAAGGCCATGATCTAAAGCAGCGGTCTCCAACATTTGGGGCTTGGCGGCCCAGCTGGGAGGGGGGCAAGAGAGGAAATGGGCCGTGTGTGCATGTGGCACACAGACATGCACAATTCAATTCATGCAAGCAGGCCAGTGCACATAAACATGCACACACAGCTCAACTACAAGTCTGGTCTGCCGCTCCTGTGAGTGTGCTCCAGCCCGCGGCCCGGTAGCAAATAGGCCACAGCCCGGTAGTGGGCTATGGCCCAGGGGTTGGGGATCCCTGATCTAAAGAGTACAGGTAAAGGATGGGATCCACCACCACCACCACCACCCTCAGTTGTTGGAGAGGGTGTGTGCTACTCGAAAGCAGGGAGCACTGAAAACAACAGAAGACCTGACTTTCCATAAAGGAGCCATGTGTACTTAATCATGTATCCCCTTTCTGGGGACCAGGACCCTGTGTGTACATGCACACACAAGTACAAAAGAGGGAGAGAAAGAGTGCAAGACCAAGTCTTGGGATGCTAATGAAGCAATTACTATAGTTGACCTCAAAAGAAGGCTGTTGGAACAAACCTTGTTTGTAGTTAAGACTCTCTCTCTCTCCCTCTCCCTCTCCCTCTCNCACACACACACACACACACACACACACACACACACACACTTAAAGACTTGCTTTCACTATGGATTCCTATACAAGGGAAACCGGCATGGCCTACATGCTTAATCCCAGTTTATCAAGAAACATACCGTGAATGGTCAGGTTAACGTTGATCTCTGCGCCGAGATTGGCGTCGTCGGGAGCTACGACCTCACACCGGTAGATGCCTTTGTCAGCTCGGGTGACGTTGTAAATGGTCAGGGACGTCCTGCTGCTGAGCTGGGCCCGGTTCGCCCATTCTCCTAAGGGTGGAGGAGAAGCAGAGGAGATGACCACCTGAAGACCCCAGCATTCAGCCAGTCCTTCACTCATGACTACCACTGAGTCCAAATTCCATTACTGAGTTTTAAACCATTTTGCAATCTTTCTAGCCACGGTGCTTAAGCGAATCGTTGCAGTTGTACATACATATAAATATTAAGCACTGTCCATTTTGAATACATAGTGGAAAGAGGAAACCTGGGAGTTCGCAAGTTTGATGCTCTAGAGCAGCGGTTCTCAACCTATGGGTCGTGACCCCATTTGGGGTCGATCGACCATTTCACAGGGGTCGCCAAGCAAGGCTGTCCGCCATTTTTTTCCCCCTTTTCCGGCGGGTGCCTTACCTCCCTTGGGCTGGGCCAGCTGGTGGTCGGCCTGCTCCATCTCTGCCGCTTGCCAGCTACGCCTCGGCCGGTGCAGGGGGCGGAACCACGCATGCGCGGCGCTCCCGGGCAGGGAAAGTCCTTGACTTACGACCGGTTGGGTAGTCCTCGACTTATGACCGGTTTAGTCCACGACTTACGACCAGTTTAGTTCTCGACTTACGACCGGTTTAGTTCTCGACTTACGACCGGTTGGGGGTCGCGGCATTAAAAAGGTTGAGAACCACTGCTCTAGAGCAGCGGCCCCGAACTTTTTGAACACCAGGGACCGGTTCTGTAGACAGAGTTTTTTCCACGGACCGGAGGGAGTGTGCTTTTGTGTGCTGCCTGCATCCCGCGGATGGGGCTTTGCTTATTTGCGTGGCACAGTTTCTGGCATGCCGTGGACCGCCGCCGGTCCACAGACCAGGGGTAGGGGACCCCTGCTACAGAGAGAGCCCCAAGAAGCTTCCTACCTTGCATCTTGCCATCAAAATACACGTATGTTGTACCTCGGCCGGCAATTTTCTTCCATTCGATTCTAGGATTCGCCGTTTTGGTGGCAGAAATAATGCAGGACAGTTCGGCCTCTGCAAAGACACACAATAGAGGTCACAAGGCGAGGTGGAGATACAGACCAAGGCAGAACAAGGTTGTGTCTTCCTGATGCCCTGGATTTCAACCTCCATGGCTTCCAACCAAGGTGGAATGAGGATGCCAAGCCAGACACAAACTAGGATTTGGTAAGTGCTCTTCCATTCGCCCCACACTTACGTTGAAATTCTTCCACCACCGGACTGATGTTTTTAGAGATCAGATCTACTGCCAGGATTCTGTAGCCTAGGAAGCAAACAAGAGGTTGGTTAAGATCAGTGTTTCTCAACCTTGGCAACTTTACGATGTGTGGACTTCAACTCCCAAAATTCTCCAGCTAGCAACGCTAGCTGGAGAATTCTGGGAGTTGAAGTCCACACATCGTAAAGTTGCCAAGGTTGAGAAACACTGGTTAAGATGGTTAAACATGTTTAAACCAAATTCGGTCAGGTCAGTGCTAGATTGGCCACAAGGCTCCATTTAATAGGAAATAAGTGGAAAATATACCACTCGGTGAAGCAACAAAGCTCCATTCTATAGGAAATGAAGGGAAAGTATACCACCCGGTGATCATTTTTGTCCTTACCTAAATGTTCTCACTAAAATTGGTGAGAACTGCATCGCTTTTGACAGGAGATATTCTATACAGAAGCCCCACAAGTGGAAATCAACAGTGAAAGCTTCACCTGTTGATTTGCTGCCAGTCACAGACAGACTTTCAGAAACCCTGCCATCCTCATTACAAGAAAGGTGATGAAGGGCGGAGGCTGTTCAGAGGCTGCTGAATCCCAGTCTTCACCCTCTACCCCTGGCTATACTGACGAGGCATGCTGGCTGGGGGGGTTCTGGGAGTTGAAGTCCGCCCATCTTAAAGTGGTTGAGGCTTGAGAAACACTGCATAACCGGACACCCCCATTGGCACAATGTTTGTCACTCAGAGTTTCGTAGCGGGACCCAATCCAAAACACGCTTCCTGTCCCTGACCAATTGCCAAGATCTACCTTCCTCCCTCCCAAAGGAAGGGGCTCGAAATTGGCAGAGGAACACAAGCACGCACACGAGGGGCAAGGCAGTGCCACCCAAGCAACATTTCTGAAGGACGGGACTGCCCTCTGCCCCACGCCACAGCATGCACGGTTCTGCAAACCCTCTCTGCTGTATTAAGCATGGATGATGCAAACCCTGGGAAGATGAGACACCCAAAAAAAGGAGTCCTAGCTTCGTCTTTACTGTAAAATTATATGATCAGAATCTTGCAAAACCGAAAGATTTTTTTTTTCTCCCCTCCTCTCCTTTTACTCTCTGAAAAACTCGGGAGGGTCTCTTCCGAAAGACTGCCCACTTCCCTCTCCTGCCAAGCGTTTGCACATCGGTTGTGCCTCGTCTGCAACTCTTCCTCCCGTCTCCCAGGGTCATTCTCACACACCCTGGCTGACAGGTCATTCTCACACACCCAGAAGCTGACTATGGCTTCTGAAGCAAGCCACGGTTTTGCAGGACGGGCTGGCCCAGCCGCAGAGTTCTTCTACGAGCTTCTAAAATTAGAAAAACCCACAAGAGTCCCGTTTCTCCCCCCCCCCCCTCGGCTGCTGGAGGTGCCACTCTTAATCAGGATAATCACCAGGGTGTAACGGCGGCTGTCTGGAGGCAGGCAGGTAACGAAGCCAGTAAACAGCTTTCATTACACTCTTTCGATCGCAGCTCTTTTTAAGCTGAAAGAAGAACACCAGCAATTTGCATCGTCTTAAAAATTTTATTTTCTTTGCCTCTTTCGCGTTGCAAGTCTCCCTCCATATTCTCCTGGCTTCCCCTTCCCTAGCTCTTGGCAGAAGCCAGGAAAGACGGAGCAGATGGCAAAGATTAGGCGGCAGGAAATTCTACCATCAAAGCAGACAAAGGGTTTCCCGTGTGTTTCCCTATGTGTTTGTGTGTGTGTGTCTAATTATATGTGAACACATCACTTCTCTGCATTTTCTTTGGGATACGCTAGAGCAGGGGTGTCAAACTCAATTTCACTGAGGGCCGCATCAGCATTACGGTTGCCCTGGGGGGGCCGGGTGGGTGTGGCCACAGTGGATGCAGCCTACTGGGTGGGTGTGGATGGAGTGGGTGTGGCCTACTGGGTGGGCGTGGCCAGCTCTACATCAAGGGTGCCTGTGGGGGCCTGGGCAGGAGTGGGACAGATCTGAGGGTCTCTGGCAGAAGGGGGTGGGACCGGGGCAAGTGCCAAGGCATGGTCCACCGGGGCAAGTGCCAAGATGGCCATCACAAAATTGTACATTGGCCCCCAGCTGGCCTGGGCCAGGGCCAAGGCAGCGGGGGCCGTTCCCTCACTGTTTCCAGGATGGCTTCGCGGGCCACATGAAACCACTTCGCGGGCCGCATTCGGTCCCCGGTCCTTGTGTTTGGCATGTCTGCGCTAGAGCCTTCTGCCCCAGAAGATTAATCCAGAGGACAATGCCCATTTTCTTACATACCTATCCATCCTCACAAACATGTACAGATAGTTCCTTGACTTATAACAGTTCATTTAGTGACCGTTCAAAGTTACAACGGCGCTTTGGAATGATAAACAGTAGAAACATTTTGAACACTGATGGGAAATTAATTTTTTTTTTTAAAAAAAAAAGCGAAAACAGGATACCGATCGAACATGTGGATGTTAAGTGCAAATGCAATTAAGATATGTTTTGGTTAGAAAAAGATATCTTAAACTGACATTATTGAGATTATTAGAAAAATGTAGCGAAGATGTTGATATTCAGTTGTATATTTACTAATAAGAATTGTGTTTGCCTAGTGTGGGAAAACAGGTACTATCGGAAGAAGAGAGGAAACACTGGATGGTGTAATATTGGATCTAAACTGAAGAAGTTAATATTTAGACCACTGGATTACTAATGGACCCAGACGACACGTTGTTTATTAAGTATTTGACTGTAAAACTAGAAAATTAATAAAATATTTATATATTAAAAAAAAAGTTACAACGGTGCTGAAAAACGGCATCCCCACAGTCACGTGATCAAAACTTAAGATGCTTGGCAACCGACTCGTATTTATGATGGTCGCATTATCCGGGGGTCCTGTGATCCCCCTTTTGTGACCTTTTGGACAAGCAAAATCAACTGGGGATACCCAGATTCACCTCACAACTGTGTTCCTAGCTTAATGACTGCGGAGGTTCGCTTCACAGGTGGGGCAAGGAAAGTCGTAAAATGGGACAAAATTCATTTAACAACGGTCTCACACCTAGCCACAGAAACTTTGGGCTCAGTTGTGGCCGTTAAGTTGAGGACTACCTGTTCAGACTTACCTTACCTGTAGTCCTCCACTTACAGCCGTAACTGAGCCCCCAATTTTGGTCGTAAGTTGGGATGATTGTAAAGCAAGATCCGATTTTTTGATCTTTTTTTGCAGACATTACTTCTCCCCCTCCCTGTGCTAAACCAAACGGTTGCAAGTCCAAAGCTACCTGTATAGGGGTGAACTTGAATCTATTTCTAGCTTCTCTGGCTGGGAAAGAGTCCAAAAGATGCTATTTGTGTATTATTTGACTCCAGAGGGTCAAATGCATTGGGAGTTTTAACTGGCACCTTCCAGGGCTAAATAAATTCTTCAAACACGCCAAATGCAAGAAGGGAAGTGCCTCTGGTCCAAGAACAATAATTACCAGCACTGAACAACTTCTAGCTGAATTCCAAGGAATAATGAAAATAATGAATGAATCCCAAGGAATAATGAAGATAACGAATGAATCCCAAGGAATAATGAAAATAATGAATTCCAAGAAATAATGAAAATAACGAATGAATTCCAAGAAATAATGAAAATAATGAATGAATTCCAAGGAATAATGAAAAGGGACTATTGCAGTATACATTTTTTAGCCAATAAGCATCACCTCTTCTGGTTATTTCCTTAATTCTCCATTAGTACAGGTCGTCCTCGCTTTATGGCCACAATTGAGCCCGACATTTCTGTCACTAAGCGAGACAGTTGTTAAGTAACTTTTGCCCCATCTTATGGCCTTACTTGCCACATTTATTAAGTGAATCACTGCCATTAGTAAATTAGTAACATGGCTATTAAGTGAATCTGGCTTCCCCATTGACTTTGCTTGTCAGAAGGGGGATCCCGTGACCCCGGGACACTGCAACCGTCATAAGTACATGTCAGTTGCCAAGCATCTGAATTTTGATCACGTGACCCTGGGGATGCTGCAATGCTCGTACGGGTGAAAAAAAAACGGTCTTAAGTCACTTTTTTTCACTGCTGTTGGTAACTTTGAACAGTCACTAAACGAATGGCTGTAAGTCAAATCTAACGGTATGTGGAACTGCGGAAAAAAAATGTTAGTCTGAAAGGCATCCAACTATGATAAGCCTGAGCCTATGGGAAACTGTAAGCCAAAGGATGGGAAGCTCAAAATAACTTTTTTTTCCTCTCTCCTTGGCAGAAATTCTTTGTAAATCCTCGCCCTGGACCATAGTGCATTCTTTGGCTGAACAAAAGGAACAAAGGAACACTAAGCCATTCCCAGATATTTCTCCTGGGTGGGTGGGGGATAAGAAAAACAGCATATTCATGCCCCCCAAAAAAATTTCCCCCTAAAGAGTCAGCAATGGGGCTGGGAAAAAGGCAGAATGAGGTGGGGTTGCTTAGACATTCTTAAGACGGGGAAAAAATCCCAGTTCCTGCACACCGGAATAACTTCAGAAGATGTAAGCATGTCTTATTTGAGAGACTGTCGATCCTCCTCTCCTGAAAAAAGCCAAAAATAAAAATGAAAAATGAAAGTCTGGTGAATGATGCTGGCAGGGGAAGAGTTAAAAACAGCCTCCCCAAACCCCAAGCATTTAGCTAAGAAGGCAGATTCCTCTAATCCTGGAGCCATTTCTTCTCTCCATCTCTATTTTTAGACAACTGTTTTTTTCCAAATGTGCCAAAATATTCCCTCCGATAGATCAGCATTCAGGGACTTGGTTCCCAGCTCGTGGCCCGTCTGTACCCTGGGACCTGCCGTGGAAGCTCGCCCATCGTGCCAGAAAAAGAATTTCAGCATCCCAATTTTGAATTAAAAAGCAGATCAAAGTCTTCAACAAAGTCACGCTCAACTCCTGTTTTTCTGGACAGTAATACAGACCGGGTTGCTACTGCCTTTTTCAAAATATGGTGGGTAGCCCACCGTTTCAGAAGTCTCTGGAAATCTCCCACCCAAACAAAAGAATACCGGTAGTCCTCGTTCATTTAGTGACCGGTCAAAGTTACAACGGCATTGAAAAAAAGTGACTTAGACCAGAGGTGGGATTCAAATACCCGAACAGCCGGTTCTCTGTGTGGACGCCGCTTCCGGAAGTCTGTTCTGGGCCTGGGCCTCTGAGGCCCAGAACAGACTTCCGGAAGTGGCATCCACGCACTTCTGGCGGTCCGTTCTGGCCTTTGCGAAAAAGGGCTAGAGCTTCAGCCGGTTTGCCGAAGTCAACAAAAAATTAGCTACCTGTTCTCCTGAACAGGTGCGAACTGGCTGAATCCCACCATTGCTTAGGACCACTTTTCACACTTCCCACCGTTGCAGCGTCCCCACGGTCACGTGATCAAAACTTAAGACGCTTGGCAACGGACTCGTACTTATGGCGGTCTTTGCAGCATCCCCATTTACATTTGCACGCTTGACGGTTGACTCACACACATGATGGTCGCAGTGTCCCAGGGTCACGTGACAAGCCATGTCAATGGGGAAGCCAGATTCCCCACCAAAGAGTCCCATCCCTCCGACTTTACCCACCACCAATCTTGGCCTCTGCTTCCAGCCGCCGGTTCCAAGGCTCGATTAAACGAGCTTTCCGATCTTTCTGACACATATCCCAAAAAGGTCCTTGCAGCCAAAGGATCAATTTGGCCCATTTTGGAAATGTGGCAGCGCTGAAGTAAAGGGCAACGCTGACTGTGCCGATGGAGCCGTTCTCTGGAAACAGCACGGAGGCTTTTCAACGTCTAGTTGTGGAAAGAGGAGCTTCGGCCAAGAATTCTCTTTATTTTCTACTTCACAAGTGCTGAGAGGCCCAGTCGAGAACACAAGGCCCAGCTGACCTATGCTGGAGACGAACAGAAAATGCAGAATGCAGGCAGTCCTCGACTTAACAGCCCTTCTTTTAGTGACCGTTCAAAGCTCTGGCAGCATTGAAAGAAGTGACTTAGCTCCGTTGCTCGCCCTTACGACCATTGCGGGGTTCCCCACAATCATGTGATCCAAATTTGGGCACTTGGCAGCCGGCAGGTATTTATTTACGAGGGTTGTCCCGTCCCGGGGTCCTGAGGTGACCATTTCCTGCCTTCCCAGCCGGCCTCCCGGAAAGGCAAAGTCAATGGGGGAAACCAGACTTGCTTATGGACCGCAGGGTTCCCTCAATGACTGCAGTGGTTCACTTAACGACGGTTGCAGCAAAGGTCATAAAATCAGGCAGAAAGAAAGAAAGAAAGAAGAGAGAGAGAGAGAGAGAGAGAGAGAGAGAGAGAGGAAGGAAGGAAGGAAGGAAGGAAGGAAGGAAGGAAGGAAGGAAGGAAGGAAAGAAGGAAGGGGAGGGAGGGAGGGAGGGAGGGAGGAAGGAAGGAAGGAAGGAAGGAAAAAGAAAGAAAGAGAAAGAGAAAGAAAGGGAAGGAAGGAAGGAAGGAAAGGAAGGGAAAAGAAAAAGAGAGAAAGAGAAAGAGAAAGAAAGGGAAGGAAGGAAAAAGCGAAGAAAAAAAGGAAGAGAGAGAGAAAAAATTAAACCACATAAAGTCAGGCTAAACCTCACTTTTCTTTTATTTTTCCAGAGACATGGCATGCCTGAACTCAGTTGGCCCTGGGAAAACTCTCTTATATTTTTATTTCTTTTAATTATCACATTACATTGTTATCATAATATATTATTATATGTTTATCTGCCCCCCTTTTTAAAAATCTAACTCCAGGCGTTAAGCGTACCTAATACTCCATCCTACCTCCTATTTTCAACGCAGCCCCAAGCAAGCGGACAAACCAGGCCAAGTGAGTATCTCCTCCACCCATGAGGGCCTGGACAGCTGGACATCCACACACCCCCTCCCCATCCCTAGCCCCCTGCTTCTTCTTTTAATGCTGTCATCTTCTGAGCACTCCTGGACTGGGAGGCCTCTTGCCAGAGGCCATCGGCAAGGAAAGTGCAATCCCATTACAGACAGGGAGCTAATGCGAGCTGACCTGCCCTTAAGGTAAATCGTGATAACTCCCAACATAATCCAGAGCTTGCTCAGAATTGCAACTGCGTGGCTCAAACCGACCCAGACTAAACCTGGTGAAACCTAAACGCACCCCTGCCGATTTCTTGATTCTCAGCTTTCTGTTACTAAGTTTATAGCCGTCCTCTAGGCCTGTCTTACGTCTAATGCTACAGATTCTCCCGGTGCTATTTTTTTAAAAAAGTTTTGATTTTATTTGATTTGATTGGTGTTGGTAATGCCTTGATAAGACCACACTTGGAATACTGCATGCAGTTTCGGTCGCCACGATATACAAAAGATGTCGAGACTCTGGAAAGAATGCAGAAAAGAGCAACAAAGATGATCAGGGGACTGGAGGCTAAAACATGTGAAGAATGGTTGCAGGAATTGGGTACAGTATGTCTAGTCTCATGAAAAGGAGAACCAGGAGTGACATAATAACAGTCTTCCAATATTTGAAGGATGCCACAGAGAAGAGGGAGTCAAGCTATTCTTCAAAGCACCTGAAGGCAGGACAAGAAAAAAACAGATGGAAACTAATCAACCTAGAATTAAGAAGAAACTTCCTGACAGTGAGAACAATTAACAGGTGGAACAGTTTGCCTCCCACAGTTGTGGGTGCTCCATCACTGGAGGTTTTAAAGAAGAGACTGGACAACCATTTGTCTGAAATGGTATAGGGCAGTGATGGCGAACCCTTTAGAGACCGAGTGCCCAAACTGCAACCCAAAACCCACTTATGTATTGTCGGGTGCCGGGTGGGCATGGCCCATTGGATGGGCATGGCCCATTGGGTGGGCATGGCTGCGGTGGTAACAGCAGACTGGGTGGGACTAAAAAGTTCAATCAATCAATCCCAACTTTGTGAGATCTTTTTTTTTCCCCGCGAGAAGTTGAAATTGATTGATTGATTGAACCTTTTTTTTTTGCAGACGGCAGCAGAGGCCTAAAGCGAAAAGGTTTTATAAAACCCAGCTGAAGGCCTAGGACTGGGGTGACAGGGCTTTGCATGCCATAGGTTCGCCACCACAGGTATAGGGTTTCCTGCTTGAGCAGGGGGTTGGACTAGAAGACCTCCAAGGTCCCTTCCAGCTCCCTTCCGGTGTTGTTTTTCTATCTGCTTTTCTTTTTTTGGAAGAGTTTTTGCAATGAGTGGCTGATATTTTGTGCAAAGACGGTCTGTGCACTAAATTATCTGTTCTGACTGCACACATTCAGAAGTGGGCTAAAAGGAGAAGGGTGTGTTGCAGAAAGAACAAAAAGGCGTTTAATGAATTCGGCCCCAAACAAACTCAACTGTTACGCTGACTTCAGATAGTTAAGTTGTGGGAAGCCCTAACTCCAGTCAGCTGAAAACATTATTGCGGGACTCACTGCCAAGGTCAGGCAAAGCAAAACATATGTTCTGAACCCTGATTGGCTGTGGCAATCAAACCCCGCCTTCCTCTGCAAGCCTGGCCAACCGGGAGGAGGCTTGTGACATCACGAAGCCTTGCCAGTACTTGCCAAGAACAAGGACCCATGGGATATTAGGCATTCTTTAAAGCAGTGCCTTCTTAAACTTTCTGCTCTTCTCTTCCCACTTTTAAAATTTTTGGGAGCTTTGGCTTACGTACTGTAGGGTGTATTTATCCACAATTACCCTACTCAGAAATAAAACTGGTGCATTCGGGGAATATGGATTGAATCGTGTAAAAAACAGCCAAACTAAAAACCATTAGATACAGTATTAGCACAAATTAAAGATCACTCCTGCATTTGTTTTGAGAAATTTAATAGAAATTTAATAGAGAGGAGAGAAACCTTTTTTGTTTTAAGTTTTGCAAATATCTTCAGCAAATATCTGATCGTTTTGATTTTGCGGACCTGTTTGGAGAGGGTCTTGGGGAAATCCTCCAATCACATTTTGAGAAATGCCGTTTTCGATGGTGACTTGAGTCCAAGTCATTGACTGCCAATAAGATCAGATGGGTTCCAAGTACAAAAAAGCAAACCAACTTAGTTGAGCACTAATTTTTGGTGTGCATCAAGGAGATTTGTCTATGGCAGGGGTCTTCAAACTTGGCCCTTTTATGACTTGTGGACTTCAACTCCTAGAATTCCTCAGCCAGGCATGCCTGGCTGAGGAATTCTGGGAGCTGAAGTCCACAAGTCATAAAAGGGCCAAGTTTGAAGACCCCTGGTCTAAGGAGATTCTCAGTCGTCCAGGTCATAGTTAGTTGTCCCAAAGATGCTTTTTCACGAAGCAATTGGACCTTCTTGTTTTTCTTTGAAGGCTCCACACCCATTTGATTTCTCAGGTGTTCCTGAGGACACAGACAAACCTCCAAGTGGCCTCAATGACTCTCTAAAAGAAGGCAAATGACCACCTGTCTGCAAGGAGTATAAATCCTTCCCTTTCCCCACCATCCAGTCAGAACCTGAAGAAGCTTCTGGGATGAGAAGCGAAACGTCTTCAAAGGAAAACAAGGAACTCCAGCTGCCTTGTGAAAAAGCATCTTTAGGACATCAAGGAGATTTCTGCATGAATGGATAATGCAGGTTGTCCTCCCTTAGCGACCGTTCCAAATTACAACCTACTTGATCAAGAGGACTTCCAACCCGTATCCAATGTTCTGATGGGCGACAACCCCCTGCTGCAGTCACATGACCACACTTCGGTTGCTCGGCAACCGGACCACATTTGCAGCCGTCGGTAGCATCCCGCAGTAACGGGAACCACATTTTATGTCGGTTTTGCTGAAACTTTCTTCTTCTTTTTTTTGATAAAGCAGCACCATAGCGAACAGTGGCTTCACTTAATGACCGGAGCGTTCACATCACAGGGTGCTCACACTTACAACCGCCACATTCTCTTAAAGACCACAGCAAAAAAATTTGGGGGGGTAAAATTGAGTCGGTCGTGAGACCCAACTCATTTTATAACCATTATGGCTTATGACCGTAATGGACAGGCAGGCTCCATTACGGTTGCAACCTGAGGATTATCTGTAATGTATGCACTCCCCTGCCATCCCATCTAGTCACAAGGAGAAAAACCACAGGAGAGAAGACACGACATCGGTGCTAAATGGAAACCAAGCAAACTTTGGAGAAGAGTCACCGGGCATGTGTTCAGCAAGAGGCAACAGAAGCACCAGTTAAAGGAGTGGGAATTTCCCCCCCTCTTTTTTTTTTTAGGACTTCAAAAGACTTCTCCCTTCCCTGAACCCCCCCCCCTCCTAGAGGAGGAGAAATAAAAAAAATGCCTATGAAATCTCCAGGGGGGGAATTTAAACAAGAGACACCCCCAAGCCTTGAAGATGAAAGAATCTCCACGGATAGAAGTGAGGACAAACCCACTGGCGGCTTCAAATGCATTCACGAGGTTCAAAGCCATCTGCTTACCTAAGAATCAACCTGGGGGAGAAGGAACAAAGGAAGCCCCCCCCTCCCCAGTCTCCCCAGCCTCTCTCCAGGCAGGGCCTTTGCAAACTGCTTGCTCAGCAGCTGCGTGAAATAATAATAATAATACCTTTCTCGGTAGAGGCTAAGGGTTTTATTCTGGGAGATCATTCCTTTCTGGAGATAAACAAGAGTTCTCTGGAAGGGCGTGTTAGGGAGACTCGGTGTCCCATGGTGC